TTCCTAATCCTAAAATAACCATTCTTGAGTTTCAGAATCAAGACCGATTGAGCAGTATCAAGACTGGGGTGATTAAGGGGAAGATTAGGGTTTTTAGGCAAAGAGTATCGATTCTGCAGTAAAGGTATCGATACTTCCTGTTGAGATCGAGACCAAGAGTGATGGTCTCAAGATATGGCTATATTTTCAGCAGCAGAACGAAGTTTTGTATCAATACTCAATGGGGTAACGATACTTAACCTTAGGGTATCAATACTACAAATAGAGTATCGATACTGCCCATCTTGGAAGAACAAATTTGACCTAATTAAGATCCAAAAGAGCTAAGGATGATCAGTAAGGATAAAATTTAGTCTATGAGGGTCGTAAATGGCCAAAAGGGGCTTAGAACCACTCAAATGAGCGAATTACAACCAAAGTAACCATAGTAGACGTAACGCGTCCAAGTATCTTCATTAAGCATGTAACATATATATATGGATGGAGTACTAGTGTGCAGGGTGTATCGATGAGAGGTACGACCAAGTAATAAAATTATAAGACAACAATGTCGTATACCGCAAGAATGATTGAGAGTGTTGTACATACAATTATTCTTTTAGTTCGAGGATGAATGGAAGAAAAATGTAGGATTAGCGATTAGAGTATCGCTACCCATAAATAAACCCGAGTCAAATAACAGGTCAGACAGAACCCTAGATGGTAAGTAGTAAACATAGAAATAACCTTGAAGTCTTGAGCGCATAGAGACTTCTCCAGAGTCAAAGAATGGCTAGAATATCCTTGCGTAGTGTATAACCAAAACAATACAGATTACCAGAAATAACAGACTAGTAGCTCCTCGCATAACATTGTAGATTAGAGAACGAGAGATTTAACAGCTAAGGTGAATAGTAAACAAGATTAGTAATAACTCATAACATCTAAAAAATAGTAACAGCTAGAATCAGTAATAGCTAGAAACATAAATAACTAGGATGTCATAAAATTAGCCTTTGTGTGACACTCGGAAAACAACCCGAACACCCAAGTTACTTTAACAGTATGACGTTGTCTTGTATGTTAGTATGTCCATGTATATTCCAGTCAGTGCTTTAGCACTTCTTTTGCCAGCTAGGCGTAGATGCCCCAAGACTCGACGGAGTAAGTTGGCGAGGTGTATATTTTTGATATAGTTCTGGATCTCACCCCATAAACCGGTGTACGTCTCCGATGCAGGTTCGGATCTCACCCAGGCACCCAAGGGTATCCTTAGGTAGGCTAGAGGGGTGTGTGAGCTCCGAGATATAGCCCCTCAGCCACACCATGATGCCTACCTCAGCTTGTGTGTGTTGCATAGTAGTATTAGAGTTGCATTCAAACAATGCACAATAGAGTCAAAACTTCATTCAGATAATACACAACAAAATTAGCATGGCATTTAGTTAATGAATAGTAGAGCTAGTATCGTATTTAGATAATGCATAGTAGATTCAAACATTAGGGTTATAGACACCTTTTAGATGATTCAGAGACGCATGAGCCCCTTACTTTAGTGATAGAACAACTAAGCCTTAACTAGGTAGCACTTGATCTAGATCATGCATGTACCTACTGCTTAGTACCATGTCTTCAATATACTTGTGTTTATGAAACTGATATGCTGCTCTAGATTAGCGATTATACTGATGGGCTTTGTAAGCTCAACATTCGGATGTTTTTGTTGGCAGGTTAGTAGCATGATCAGTTCATGGAGCACCGTCGTAGCAGGATTTCCAATATCTCCTTCAGATTACTATATCGTAGCTTAGTGAGCATATGTATTCATAGAACATTACTTATGTATTCAGTTTATTAAACTCAAAGTCTGTATTATTTTAGTTTTAAATTATGTGTAACGAAGCTCCAATTTTGCAAAAGGATTTTATAACAGTATTTATGTTTTATGCATGATACCATTCGACGTGTTTTAAAAGAAAAAGAACAGGTTCTGAAAATCAAGGATTGTCTCGGTAACCCAATGTGGCACTTTAGGCCTAATTGGGTTTAGGTGTTACACAACCAATCTCCAAATTGGAGCTTCTTTATGCTATTGGCTGAATAGGTCTTTCATTCAATGATCGTGTGCCCAATGAGTCCACACCAATGGAAAAAACTTTGGAGTTTTTCGTATTTCAGGGGAAACCTTATTGGTTGTCCGTTCGCCCCAGTGCCAAGACTCAAGCAACGTCGAATGGGTTTTGTGATGTCAGTTTTGACCCGGGTGCGCAAGAAAGTGCCAAGTATTCCCTTTTCATTCCTAAAATCCACTGCTACTGCCGTGCATATGGTGTGACCAATCTTGACACCCAAGATCTTCCCTTTTCATTCCTAAGTCCGAGAGAACTGTTGCATCCAAAAGGGGAGGAAGGAGAAGTCATATTCCATGACTTCTTTCAGGTTTCTAAGGACCCAAAGCTTGACTTCTTTGTAAGATTCAGGACCAGCCTTGGAGAGTCCACAGCTGAGAAAGGTTTCTAAGGGCTGGACGTCTTTCAAAAAATAAACTGGTGACCAGGTCTTCGCTGTTGACTTCCTTTATCTAGTAAAAACCGTTCCTCCTTTGTAATGTGACCTTGTGAAACCTTTGTGCCGCCTTATTTTTGCTTTCCCCTCGATCTTCCTCTTGTTAGAATGAGGTTTGTTAATATAACATACCAAGTTTCCTTAGCTTCCTCTCTATTTCGTTTTCCTTTTTTCCCCTTCGTTTGCAAGTCCATGGGAATTTTCCAAGTGTCCATGATGAAATCTTGCTTCCTTTCCATCTTTCCTTTCTACGTGTGTTCTAGTTTGCAACTTGTTCTCTCTCTCCCCATTCCTTCCAAAATTGAATATACCTACTCGATCCTGCAAAACTACTAAAGAGATAATGTCAAATCTGAAGAAACACTTACCTTGCACAGGAGCACCTTGAAGAATTCTTCAAATCTGAAGAAACACTTACCTTGCACAGGAGCACCTTGAAGAATTCTTCCTAGAAGGTCTTGGCTTGGGAGAGGTGGGATAGACAAACGGACAAATATCTTTTGAAAAGAAGATAAATGACCCATTTTAACAACATTCCTATGAAAATCATGATAAGCATGATCGGGTTTAGGTGGACAACTAAAGAAACCATTTCTTTTGGAGAACCAAGATGAGGGAACAAGAGAGAAGGGAGAGTTTCTCTCACTAGAAACAACCATGTCTCCTAAAGAAAACTATGGAGGTGGGCAGTGATGTATGGTCGTTAATATTGTTATTTTCTTTGAATAATTATAAATTGCTTTGTATAGTATCTGTTATTGTCATTAAAACTTTATTTAAATCGAATATTTTTATTTTATATTCATTTTATTTTTCATGCTCAGAATTTAGAAATGTTCTTTTTAAGTATATTGTCTTGGTTTGAACACAATATGAAGAAAAATTAATACAAGCCTTTATTTTCCTCAGAAAAAGATTATATCATAATCAAATGCTATATAAATTATTCGATACGTTATTATGGTGATGATTTGGTCCAACAAATTCTCATTAGGTGCTTGGTAATCATCAATGAAACTTGGACTACAATAAAAGTTTGCAATATTAAAAATTAGTAAAACGGACACATCAACTAGAATTTCGTTGGTGCTTCTTATGCTTTATTTTCGAATAAACTTGAATTCAATTTTTTTTAAATATCATTTTTCAGAATAATTAGATAAATATGTATGCTTCAAATATTGAATTATAATTTTATTTTATGTTTAAATAATTAGATTAACTACCCAACTAATTTGATGTTTGATTTTCAGTTTAATAAGTTTAACCAGCTTGATTTAATAATTTTAACTACTTTTATATTTAAACACCAAGCATGAGTTCTAATATAAAATTAATTAATTAATTAAAGGTTCATTTCTCGTCGTTAATCATAAATAAAATTTGAAAAAATATAAAAACATTTTTTATTGATTCAATTATATTGAAGGATCTTTCTTAATTACATAGTCTATCAGAATCTTTAGGTGTTTTTGTTGGTGGATCTTTCAAATTACATGTTCGGTCTAAACTTCCAACAATTAAATATTATATTCCTCAAATGATAATGTAGTAGAGTGACTAAGGATTTTTCGCCCTACCCTGTTATGGGTCCCCGGGAGCTGAGGTTTTTAGTATTATTATTTTTTTTATAATCATCTGTTTTTGATATATAGATCGACTAATATAGATTAGATACTGTAGAGGTAAGAGCGACCCTTCCAACCTAATTTACTCAATTCACAATCGTAAGGATTCGAAACTAACATTGCTTAAGATATCTAATTCCTCATCCCACTAGACCAACTGGTTATTTGTAGAGGAGGAGATTATAGTATTGTGTAGGACGTGGAATATTTAATTTACCTTTGAATAGTGAGTCGCCGCATGATCATTTGGTTAAAAAATTTATTATAATGAGGATTAAATCGTAATATCTTCATGTGATCGATAAATTTTATTTTTATTATCGAACTGAATTTATTTTGATTACGTCAATTATCGATTGCAATATCCTAATTCAATCTGTTAAATATTTCCAACAAAATATTCCCAAAATAATGAGGCACAGCATTTAAATTTGGAAGAACCAACAAATCTATAATGAGACTCTAAAGTGAAATCCCACCTTGATTTAATTAGTTTATTGAAAATAAAAATCAATTGAATCCAATGTCTAGTTTTAGCACAAAGTTACAGAAAAAACAAATCAAAATTTAATATCAATGATTGCGAAACATCATGAGAGGACTCATCTTTTCACGGTGGAAACTGATCAATGAAGTAACATGATGATAGCTGACAAATCATCAATTTGGCTTACTCTACAAATGAGTTAATTTGTAAAGCAAATTTTATAAAAACATAGAGAGAGAGAGAGAGAGAGAGAGAGGAAAGTGGGTGATTGCTTAAGAGATGGCTAAGCATGATTGCAACATTGAACTTGCATTTTACTCCAAAACAAACAGATCATTCTCTCTCTTTTTTCAAATACATTTTATATTTCAGTTCAGAACCGCCATTGTTGAAGCTTTAAACACTTTGGGTGCTTGAGTTTTGAGGATATAATTGAGGGAGAAGAATTGGGTGCTTGAGTTTTGATCCAAAATGGCCAGTTTAGAGAGAGCTTCACCAGCTTTGAAGGAGATACTTCTCAGAATATACAAGTAAGCCACTGTTTCTTTTATGTTGAAAGAACTAAGAATCAGTCCATTGCAATCCATGTGTTCGTATAAGTGCCCGTGCTATATATCAATCTATAGAATATAGAATATGCAAATCGTTAGATGAATCAAAATAGACCATTGAGGAGGTGTGATGAAATTTAATTGTTTTTCATGGCAGTGCAGAGAGGCCTATAGAGATTGATCATCACTTGTATGAATTCGGGTCTGTTGAATACTACATTAAGGTAATCTTCCAACATTGTCTGCTATTTCGAGATCAAACATGACCAATCCTAAACCTGAACAAATTGTTTGAAAGCCACGCTTAACAATTCATCTTTCTGGTTTTCGTTTCAACAGTCTTCAGCATCCGAACCGTTTACCTACCTGTCGATATCGACGCCTCTGCTGTCCCAAGGAGTGTTTCTATCACATGGGCTATCCCCATATACCCTGCAAATGGTAAGGGGAATCTCCATTGATGTTCTTGACATTGTAGAGCCTCCGACAGATGGATACCAGCTTACTCTAAGACTTGATTTTTCCAAGCTCCCACGTAACAAAGGTTTGTAACTATCCACCATCTCAATGATATTTCAAGTTTTTATCAAAATATTTATATGGGATGTGAGTGTCGGATATAAGTATATGTCTGAAATGTGCATGTTCATTTGTTTTTTATTTTAATTTGTTTAGAATATCATCAGAAAGTTTATATTCCCTTATCCATCTCCAATAGGCAAAATTTTCGAGATAATGTTCTCGAATTTTTTATTTAACGATATAACGTACTCCCAAGATTAATTGTTCAAATAGGGCCGTAGGTCGCCATGCCTTCCGGGCGACCTACGGCTGCACTCCGGGCGACCTTGTAGGTCGCCATGCACTCCTGGCGACCTTGTAGGTCGCCATGCACTCCTCCTGCTCCTCGCGTGATTCCTCTTGCCCTCGGATGCCCTCGCATAGCTCGCTCGAATGGCCTCGGTCGGATGCCCTCTGTCGGATGGCTTCGGATGCCCAACGTGTTGGAACGTGCATGACACATGCAATCTCTCTCATAGCTCGCCGGGAAGACATGGCGACCTAGTAGGTCGCCCGGATGGCATGGCGACCTACGACCAACACTGTAAATTTCACCCTATTTGAGCAATTAATCTGAGGAGTGCATTATCTCGTGAATTAATTTATTCGAGAACGTTATCTCGAGAGTTTAGCCTCTCCACAATATGTATGGAACTAATGGACAAAGCAATTTTTAGTGTCAATTTTCCAACTTAGTCCTTAAACTATTTTTGTCCACGTTAGTCCTTGAACATGGCACATTATAATAAATGTCACATTACCAAAAAGATTCGAAATGAGAAAAGTTGACAAATTCAATGTGGATCGAAAAGGGATAAAGCAACTTTTAGTCCTCGAACTTGATCATTTTTCCAATTTAGTCCTTTGACTTTTTTGTTCGCATTAATCCCTGAATGTGGCACATTATCAAAATGCTACATCATCAGAAGGACTAAAGATGGGAAAAAATTTCAAATTCAAGGTTTAAAAGTTGTTTTATCCCTATGAAAAATGGAAATCGGGGACTGTAACGATGTAAGCAATGAAACTCTGAAAAGAGATACAACTACAATACAAGTCTTTGCTTGAATATGTTGAATTGAAAGCATATAAAAGCTAAACATGGGTATATCACAGAAATGTTAATGCTTTCTAATATATTTTTTTTCAGAATCTTTGAAGGTGGTCACAGAAGTTTCCTCAGTCCAAGCAGTAGTACTAAGTTCACAACTGAAAGAAATGTTGCAGAATGTGAATTCTTGGGATATATCTCAGGGGATGTATAAACCCATCAAACTTATTTATCATCCCAAAGAGCCTTTCTATGTCATCAGACAGGTAATTTACTAAATGAATGCTGTATGTCTATGTTACACAGAGCTAGGGTGTGAATGTCGAAAACGGATATATGTCAAACTTTATTTTTTCTAAATGAATGAGAACATTTTTGGCAGCCTCAAAAAATAATAGCAGTGTTTCCCATGAGGTTCAAAGATCATTCAGATGTGATCATTGCAACATCCTTCTTTCAGGTTTCTGATTAAGAACACAACACTTTCATTTTTGTTGAGGGATCTTCGGATTGTGTGGTTGGTTGGAATTCTCAACAATCAGGTATTGTCCAGGATTGCACTGTCATGGAATGCCCGGGTTTTGTCTCCCAACCCTTAGTGGATCCCGAGCGTTCCATGGCAGTTCTGTCTCAAAGATACAATACTTGGTTGCTATAGTTTTCCGACCAACTTCATAATTGAGAGGTCCCTCAACAATTCTCGCTATTACTACAGCTGCAAAATAATGGGATTTTTTTTTCTCCATACTTTGTTTCCTTGATAGGAGCTAATGGATGTGGGAAGTTCTGGGAAATGGGCTAAAGTACCTCCTTGCAACTGGTCACCTATTCCTCCTCCAGAACTCAGAGGGGAACCTTTTGAAGATTTGAGCACTAATGGAGGATTCGTCTCTTTTGGTATCTTCGTTTTTCTTTGTTGAAATACTCAGTATTGCATATTAACATGCTGGTCTTGGCAACATAACATAATCTTAAATTACATGCGACATGTTCAAATCCGAGTAAAATGTTCCGATGTCTTTCTGTTTAACAGATATATCTTCACACCATGTTGAAGGTAAAAGACTAGACAAGACCGTGTGGAGTTTGTTAAATTTCTATACCTATGTGAAACACCATGTAAAGGTAAACAGCAAAACTTTCTTAAATCCTTGTTTTCATATTTGGAATTGTAAGAACTGGAGCTTTAAACTTCCTTCTTCTGGCAATTTTTTTCCACAGTGCACCAGAGGCTTCATTCAGAGAAGGATGAGAAGGCGAATGGATAGTTTAGTTCAGGTACTGAGCTCAGTTCATGATCATACAGCATACGTATAACTATCTGACACCTACACGAATCTGGATATCCGAACACGGATATTTTTTAAAAAACTGTCGATCTAAAATTAGGGTTCATAGTATATATTGATATCGTTAACACACCCTACGTGATATAAATTACTTCATACCTCAACAACTAACTAACCAGTAATGTTGTTTGATCAACCTCAGGTCCTGGAAAAATCAATGAAAGAAGAGAATGGACAGATTCAAAAGGTTAAGGGTATGAATTCAGCTATTAGCACATGTGTGTGTGCATATATATATATTTGGAAATGATTATCTTCTCATTGTATTGTTTGGCTCGAAGGAAATGCAGGATGGAAGAAGATGAAAAACTGGGTGAGATTAACATCAAAATCCAAAATGATCAAACGAAGATATCATGATATCACGAAGAAGATAAAGAGAATCCGTTTCCGTATTAAAATCCATGGTTTCGGGCGTTTCCGTAGGCGATGGTTGACAATGCCCAACTTCTCTTCTTCAATGGGATACACTAAACTAAAGAAAACTAATTAATTATCCTTTGTTTTTACATAACTCGATTACCTTTTTTTATTGTGATAAAAAACAAATTAATGTTCATAAATTTAAAAAAATCACTCAATTAATAATTTGGTTATGAGTAATGTTTTTTTTTCAGGTATTAGATGTAATAATGGTTTGGTTTGATATAATAATAGTAGTTTGTTTTAAAAACTCGTACATTCTAAAAATTGTGTCTTAATTGTAAATAGATTAATAAATTTAATTCTTTATATCTAAAAATTACATCAGTATAGTTATTTTTTGTAACACTATCAAGTCAAGCGAGTCTATCTAATCAAAACAACAGTTGAATAATTGTATTTACTATAAAAATAAAATTGTAGGAGAAGAAAAAGTTAAATTTATATAAACTTAAATATGAAATATGAAATTTATTGAATTTAATTAAATTACAATCAAATTTATATAATTTATAAATTTTGAGAATTAAAATTATTATTATATCATACCGTGTTATTATTATATCTAATATATAATGTTCATTGATTTATTTGTAGCAATATTTAATTAATGATTGAATTATAATTTTTTTTAAAAAAAGTTGTTCATTTGTAACCCAACTAATAATCAATAGCCTAAAATTTATTTTACCTTAAAATAAATGGTGGAGAGGAATCTAAATTTGACGTTCAAGATCGTCGTATGAACAATCCAATGGATGTCATCATAACATCCAAAGAAGACCCACTAGATTACCAGATCCAGATTTTTCTGGAAATGGTGGACTGTAAATCACAAAAACAGTAACCAAGACACATATGTCAATCCCACCTTCCAAAGCCACTCGTATATGTGTGGCCACCAAATGCTTCAATGGCTCTCTTTCCTCCACACACAACCAAACCCTCAAAAAGAAGATATAAATCATTTCGCATAAACAAGAAAATACCAATCACAAGCTGGTGAACAACAAACAAAAGAAGAAAACCGGTGTCTCACATCAGAGCTAGAAGATAGCTTCTACTATGTCGTCGATGGCGGTTTCTTCGGTTTCCGCGGTCGGGTTTAAGGGAGGTTTGGGAAGTTCGTTTAAAGGAGGTGAAGACTATGCCATGTTGGCTAAATCGGTTCCGAACGTTGTACGCGTGGGAAAGGCGGTTAGAGCTCAGCCGGTGATGAAGAACGTTAACGAAGGGAAAGGATTGTTCGCTCCGCTGGTGGTGGTTACCCGCCAGATTGTTGGCAAGAAGAGGTTCAATCAGCTTAGAGGAAAAGCCATTGCCTTGCATTCTCAGGTCCGTTACATGAAATTTTTGGATAAATTAGAAGAATTAAATTTTAACAAGGTAGAGGGATTTAAACTATAATTAGACAGATTAAGAAACATGGAAATGAATGCATGAATTGTGAGACTCGACCAAGAATTGTGATAATTTTATTAATTATTCAAAAAAATTAATTATTTTCAGGTAATTAATGAGTTCTGCAAAGCAATAGGAGCTGACGGTAAACAAAGGCAAGGCTTGATTCGTCTGGCTAAAAAGAATGGCGAAAGGCTTGGATTCCTTGCGTGATTATATGACCGTAGACGTGTACTTTTTGTCTTTGATTATCATTACAGATGCTCCAAGTTTATGTAGTTTTTTGTTAAGAACATCCATCACTCTAGTTTGTATTATAGTATTTCAGACAATCAAACAAATTCTTCATCGATTAAGGTAACAAGTTATCCAAATTCGGTTCGAATTCAACTAGATTTCAAACTATGTAATTCGGAGAAGCAAAATCTCTATACAACGGCATTGGCTGCACTTACAATCCTTGGCCATAAATCAGCACTCTCCTTTCCGATCGGACCAGTTTCTCCCTTTGGATTCACAATGACACCGGCATTATCTGCAATTCAAACAAGATTCGAAACACAAACTTAGAACGGCAGAGCATCAGAAAAGCTGCGTCTGTTGAACATATAATTGATGGCAAATACAGGGCCCAAACGGAGCAGATGAATGCTCCAAGAACGAAATGCATCTACAATGACAGAGGCACTCGGTTTTCCAAACTAGTAGCTGCATCGATTCGTATGCTATAAATGATTATCTGAGACTGTCGAGACCATTTTCAATTACAAGGTTGACATCTTAGAATATGTAGGGCTCAAATAGAGCAGCTCAAATAGAGCAGATGCAAGCGTCAAAAGCTCAATGCATCTGCAACGATGAACACACTTGATTTTCCAGGCTAGTAACTGTATCAACCATTGAAGATTTGAAGTAGATACATGACTACCGTCTGGAATAAGATCGACAGGGAAAATTCCCGGAATAAGATAGTTATGCTGCTCGTAGGAAGCATCAAACGAGAGTAACGTCTACATCACGACACCGATTAACAACAAACCTCTATCTTCAGTAAACAGTCCAAACACCACTCATCGATTCCATACCAATAGCATCTACAATTTTACTAGACCTCAGTCCTAGACAAACTATGAACATTCATATTTCAGATGCTCAAGACCGATCCCGACCAACATATATCGATAGTTATGCTGCTCGAGGGAAGCATCAAAAGAGAGTAACATATACATCGTGACGCCCTTTAATGAAAAGAATCTGTCTTCAGCAATTCCATACCAATAGCATCCACAGTTTTTACTAGACCTAAGTCCTAAACTAAGTATGAACATTTGCATTTCAGATGCTTCCGACCGTGACCGAACAGAATAAGTCGATAAGTCTCTAATTTCAATCCACATTTCACCGACTACAAAACAATGACAATTCGCACATCTAGAAAGGATAAAAGAATCTACATTCAAAGTACATGTAAACACCATCCTTTCGGCGCCAGGGCTTGCGCTGCCTCACGATGACGGCAGGCAACACCTTCTTCCTCAGATCAGGCTTCCCTTTCTTGACAGTACCCATCACCATGTCTCCAACACAGGCTGATGGCAAGCGGTTAAGGCGGCCCTTGATTCCTTTCACCGATATGATGTAGACGTTTTTAGCACCAGTGTTATCGGCACAGTTCACGGTGACTGCCACCGGTAAACCCAGTGACATCCTAAACTTGTTTACAGCTGATCTTCCGCGTCCTAGTCGGAAACTGGAAAGAGAAGTAAAGATGAATACTTTTTCAGCTATCAAACAGCTTATGAAAAATACACAATAACCCATTTTTCTCGGGAAACAAACGGATGTGTTCCGAGAAATGGATATGTAAACTTACCTCGCTTCGACATTTTCGACGGCTGAAGAGAAACAATGAGTGAAAGCTAAGGTTTTCCGAAAATATATGCGGTTTTTTTTAACGTATTGTTGAAGATGATGATGGCTTCAAGCTCTAGACCTTGGTTTGTTTTTTTGGCCCATTATCCATAAATTAATTGGCCCAATAAGTCAGTCAAGTTTTTATTTTACAATATACGGTAAATGCTACAGTGAAGTAAGAATTTGTCACTTCGATATGATGAGTTTAATAAAAAATATTTTTAATGATCTCATGTCTATGGCCCATGTGAGTTAATATTATAATATATTTCTTAAGATTCATCATGTCAATGTGATAAATCTTATTTAAAGTTATTTTTTTAATTCAGTAATAATTTAGAAATAAAAAAAAATAAGGTAACTTGTCACGTAGAGGTAACGAGTTATCCTGAAATTTAAAAAAAATAGTCGTTGGGCAACAGACAGCTTTTGAATTTTAAAAATTTTATCCGATGAAACTCGTCACGCTGAGGTGATAAGTTTCGTCAAAATTAAATTTAAAAAATAATTTTCAAATTTACTAAAAAAATACAAAATAATTTAATTACAAACTATTAATAAAAGTTCCTACAAACTAATACAATGCATAATAAATTTATTTATATTTTCGTAATTCTTGACAATACCGAGAAATGATTGAATGATAATGACGCGAGACTCATCAAGTTCTCGTGGTCGTTCGCCTTGATCATCTTCATCTTTGTCTTCGTTTGTTTGTTGAACAGAAGGCGTACTGAACATCACTTCACTTTGAGATCCACCTTCGAAATATGGTGATGGAGTACTTAAAGTATTTGATCTCATCATTACCGTCATTAACTTGACTTGGCTACCAAAATTAGTACCTTCTTGACTATATATAATATGATCACGTTCACCCTTACACACATGCTTTGTCGAAGATGCTTGAGTACTTTGCATTGCATCCCATGAACCTTCAATCTAATTCGGCTGACTCTCCATTGAAGCATAATATATAGGATAAAAACCATAATTGGTCTGACATGCAAAATAATAGGTAGAAGCAAAAGATGAAGATGAAGATAATGATGTTTCCTTGCCCTATGCGAACTTGGCCTTCATTTGTTCCCATTGTTCCCTCTCTTCCGGTGTTGTTAAATATGGTTTCTTATTTGCTTCATAATTTCAGAGGTAGGGAGAAATGTTGAAATCAATGTCAACAACTGTAATTTCGAAATGCATAGGGACATATAAATGTCGTTCATTCTATTTTGAATGTATACAACATGCTTTATAGGCTAATTATCTTTATGTTCCCACACTTATCAATTTTATGGAGCACGCCCATATCAAATATTTGCATAGGAATTGTTGATAAAACACAAATTGTCACAACACTCTATCTGCGATATGCTTCTCAACAATCGCAAAGTGTAGTAAAGGCATAACGACACACCATAACTCCAACTCTTCAAAAAATTCCAATGGCAGTAACCATTGGATCTCATAGTCATAATACGGAATCCAAGAAAATGTAAACATTAATTATAAAAGTTAGTATAAATAAAAAAATTAGTATAAAAAATATAAAAGTTAGTAATTTACAGCATGTCGATCAATGATATTGATCCTTATCCGTACATATTTCTTATTTGCACCGGACAACTTAGTCTCGATAATTTTATGTCGTCATATAAATAATATAATAAATAAATTTAAAATAAATTTAAAAATTTACTAAAAAATTAAAGTTATAAAATTACATTACAACCAAAGGAAACTCGACGGGATGATGTAATTGGCGTAAAAAACGAGAACAAGTACCATGCCCAAGACTGTAGCAAGATTAGACAATCGGCAACATCGACTTTTTGACCCCTTTCAACGATTGTAGCCTTGCAAAGTACCTAGTATAAAAATGTAAAAATGATCGAGCCTCAACTAGTGTTGTGACACTTGGTAAAATTCTCCAATATATGTGAGCCAAATAACCAGACATATTCGGTAATAATATACCTTCAATCAATTGGAGAAGATACACTTAGGCTGCAAATATGACCTCCTCCTTGATAGAATCGTTAGTCACATTAAATTCGGACTCCAACCAAGTGATCCATATCTAGTACCCCTTTAAGACATTTGATGGTGGCATCCTTCCCAAAACTTGGTGAACAATAGCGAATCAGTTGAAATCGTTCTGCCTCACTAGTGTTGCACTATTAACCAGAACATCGAGTTAGTAAGCGACATCTTCCAACGTAATCGTTAATTCACCACTCAAAAAACGTAAAGTATGAATCTCAGGCCTCTAACGTTCAATCAAAGCCGAAATTAATGCCGGGTTCACCTTAAAACCAACACAAAAATATGACATTCCCAAAACTTTCAGATTGTGTAACACCCTAGTCTGATCCGACCCAAAACCCGATAGATTAGAATGTCACACGGAACCACGTAAGTTGCTAACCATTTTTTTAAAAATCTTTTTACCAAATCGACATATGCATAAAACAAAATATAATACGTTTACAAAATATAAGTATTTAAAATATAGGGAGCTCCCAACATCAATCTCCATAACATGTAAAAACAAAATAACATAGTTTATGACTCAATTTCAAATAAGGGTCTATGACAGTACATGCCCTCTACAACAGTTGAAACGTACTCTGAAAAGATGGATGAGTCTGGAATCCAAGTCTGGTGATGAGCTCCTCAGCTGGAACCTAAGAACCTGTGCACGGAAACACATTCCATACGCAAAGCTCACAAGCTCATTGCCACACAAATAACCCTACTATACTACATCATTTAACATATGATCATGCTACCAGTATGATTATGCATATTCTCACAAACTACTCAACAACCAAGGTAAGCATCATGGTGTACCTCGGGGTCACTTAGCATTATGGAACTCATATCCATCTTTGCTTTCTTAAGAATCTTAGTCGAGACCCAGGTTACAAAGCATCGGTGTCTCCCTATACTTTGAGCTGAGTCTGGGTCACGTATCATCGGAGCTCACTCATCTAGTCTATTCCTACAGAGTACTTGGGATTTTCTCGGGTCACATAGCATCGGTGTATCATCCAACTAGCATTTTAAGTGCACCAACACTTGATTTGGATATATCCGGATATTCCTTATACTATCACACTACCTTCATTTAAGTTTCGGGTTTCTTCATCATTTCTCGAGCATCAAACAAATGCATAAGTCTTATGGAATCTTACCTCATTTAGACTTAATGTTATCACATAATTATTAAGGTTTTCACTTGTATACTTATGGAAGAGTATCCCCTCTTAATAAAATCCCAACATGTTTCATCTAACTCAAACTAGCCTTACTTCCCAACATATCATATTGGTATCGATACTCCTTCTAAGGTATTGGTACTCCCTTTCTAGTGGTATAGATACTCCATTGGGTATCAGTAGCAAATTTGATTTTGATGTTTGTAATTTAATATCAGTATTGATAATCACCTGGAAGTATTGATACTCACCCTCCTCAGTATCGATACTCCCAAGAGTATCGATACTAAAGTTGTATTCGATGTTTTGAAAAATACCCCAATATCGATACCCCTTGGGGAATATTGATACTCCACTCATGGTATTGATACTCTGATGAGTACTGATACCAAACTCTGCTACTGAAATCCAATTTAGATCCCGAAGTATCGATATCATCTGAACAATATTGATACTTCTTAATGACGTATCGATACTCTCCTCACAAACCTTTGAATTTTGTCATTTTCGAATAGGCAGTATCATTACTATTCTTACAACACTGATACCCTCAAATCAAAAACTCTATTTTCTCTCATGAAAACTCTCCCAAATCACCCCTGAAGTTACCCTAAGGCCCCCAAATGGTGTTTAAAGCTTATGTATGGCTAGAGGATCATGAAAAGTCATTACTTTAATCATGAATAGCATCAAATCCATGTTTTAATGATTTGAACCCCGCAAGCGCACCAAATGGCTCATACATACAAAAAACAAGCAACAAACTACATATGCTGATCTACAAGCAGTAAGGAAGGGTAGAGATGTGTTATATTTCACCCATGAGTTGAAAAATAACTTCAAACTCAACCAAGGGTGACTTTCTCCTTGTTATTCACCTTTAAGCTTTCACCCACTTCTATCATTAACCAAAAGCAAATTAAATGATAAATAACTTACTTGAAGGCTTAAATAAGGCAAGAATTTGACTCTAAACTCTTTAGGAGATATTTAGACACCCAAGAGCCCTAGAATCCAAAACCCTTCTAACCCTCCCCCCCCCCCACAATGGCTTCCTTGAACATACCTTGAGATTTGGAGCTTCATTATGACTTTACATCCACAAATCCAGAATGAGAATAAAGAGAAACATACTTTCACCTTTTACTTGGAAACAAGAAGAATAATAAAATAGTTTGAATGAAATGTAGAATATAAAGAAGGAATAAGAAAAAAAAGGAAGCCTGGCACGTTTACATCATCGATTCTTAATAAGAATTCAACTTTCAAAAAGTTTAGAGGTTAATTGTCCTCTTAGTCCTCCTATTTTTTGTTCAATTTAAAAAAATCTTTTTTAGTCTTGATGGGTCTAAGCCCAACTATAATAAGTCCAAACCCTTAAATTCTTGGACAAGGCCTTCTCGCAAATCTAAAGGATTTATATAAATTTTATCTCGGGTTAGCCCAAACTTCTAACTCGAAATTTGGGGCGTTACAACTCTCTCATGCTAAAAACAATTGTCATCAAAATTTACCTGAGTAGAACGAATGTGGATACTGGAGCTATATATCCTCCTCGGTATCCCAAGTTGTTTCCTCAGTCTCATGGTTCCTCTACAAGACTTTCACTAATGGTATCCGTTTATTTCTTAATTCTTTTACATTTCGATCCAAATTCCTTATCGGTTCCTCTTCATAAGTCATTTCTTGACTTACTTCGATTTTTTTCAAATGAAATGATATGTGACGAGTCTGAATGATATCTTCTAAGCATCAAGACATGAAAAATAATGTGGATACACTCCATCTCCAATGGCAAAGCTAGTCGGTAGGCTA